AACTTGGTTGCTGCTGACCCTGCAAAAAGTTCAAGTTTTTGGGGGTTTCGTGGAAGACCCCTTGATTTCCCAAAAGTCTAAAGATCCAACCCAATAGCAGTCAAGAAAACACGTTGCAACGGGCGGCGGTCCCATCAGCTCAGCGCCCGGCCGCCCGCGCTCCCGCGCAGCCCACGTCCGTTGGGCCCAGGCCAAGGGCAAACGGCTGCGCGGCGGGATCTGCGGCTTGCGGCTCCCCGCTCCAAGTCTGCAGGGAAAGTGACCGCAAGTGGATGGCTACCTGCGCTGGCGACTGGGATCCACTAGGATTGTAACCCGCAACTCGAATCTCAAATTGGAATCTGGAACATCGCAACGCGTGCACAGACAGGGTCAAAGATGTGGTTTCCGTAAAGAGTATGGGACATTTAGCGGGTCTCCTCTTGGTTTTGGGAAATTGAAAATCTCCCAAGCGGTCCATCTGGGTATTTTGACCAATTCATGAAGGCTTTGGGGTTTCCAGAGCGCTCCTCTCTCCGGAAACAGTCGCATACCATCCCTAGGGTAGCCCAAAAATCCCTGGTATGAACTCCGAGTTACGGCTCAATGTGAAAGGGTTTTTTCGGGGGTTCAACGTTGTGAGGGGCTTCTAAGGGCGTATGCAATCTGCCTTTGATACAGGCCAGCATGAAACCTGCGTCCCAAAATCGAGCACGTGTTGGACAACCTCCCATGGAGATGCTCTTCTTCCCAGGGAACCCCTTCATAAGAAAAAGGGAGTGAGTGACGTGGTCGTATCAGAGTCTGACTTCCGTCTGCGTGAGAAAAAGGGGACTTTAACATCAGAGTGCCGCGGATGGACATCCCGAATGTGGGCGCGAACTTCTTGAGTAGATGAGCCCGTGCAAAACAATAGTTCACCACTTCAAAAGATCCTCCCAACAAGTATGATGCCCTCAAACTTGGGAAGTAAGGACACCATGCTCGAAAGAAGCTCTGTCTTGATGCAAAAGTTTGGACTCAACACGCGCTTCACCCCAATTACCGGGTACGTAGAGACGCCACTGATTGGCTCCGCCTCGGAGACTGTTGGAGACTGTTAGATGGGCTCGAGAGAGCTGTGCATTATATAGGCGTCGCATCCTCTTAAAGAGGAGTGCCGGTCACCCAGTTGTTCAGTGACGATATAGAAACAGGACCCCTTTTTGAGGGGTCCATGTTCTGTGGAAAAGCCACCAAACAAAGGATTTACAGAGGCCCGGACTCCACTGAAGAACTGGGGTGAAACACCTTGGCGGCTATGCCTGCCTCAAACACCTAACTTGAGCCCTGTGCCGGGGCACAGAAGCCTTGCAAAGGACTGGAAAGCCAGAAACCGCCGGCAGTTTTCAACTGACGACGCTTCGGATTCCCACATCTCGCGAGCGATTGAAGTGATCCTGTGAGGGCAAAGCATAATTGCAAAGCGTCACTAGACTTCAAGCAACTCACTGAGACGCCTTCTGAATTCATCCGTTGCCGGCTGCTGTCTGCCACTTGCCATACTTGCCAAAAGAAAACTGGAACTAAACAAGAAATGGATCAAAGCTGGGAAGTTAACGGTCAGAACACATTTGAGCAAATGAGCCTTCAACGCACATTTTTCTGAAGATAATTGGCTAATGAACAACTCCTTTCCTGAGTGGACTGGCCCAAAAAGTCTACACTGTCTGTTTAACACCAAAATGGTCCTCCCAAAAAGTAATAATAAAGTCAAACTTATCATGTCAAACAAATTGGCCGCAGACGGGGAAACGGCGAAGGTCCTTGTGCCTTCCAACTGTTATGCGCTCGGATCCACTATCTGAGCCCAGCATCATCTGTAAGGGCCTTGGTAGGCCGATTCTACTGAGTCTCTCTTGTTTTGGAGTTGGTACCCCATTTTTGGTGGGGGTCCCCTGAACAAGAGCAAACCAGCACATCCGTGTTTGAACCCATGGCCTTTTGGACCTGTTTGGAAGGTTGGTTATCCACCAAGCCAGAAATTACCGATTACCCAGTAAACCAGGAATCATACCAAGGGGTCATACTGGATGTCCAATATCCTGAACCAGTTGGCATGAACGAAACCCCGTGAATGGAAAAAGACACCTACGAGCTGGTAAGCGGATCTTGTCCATCTAGTATGAGTGAATCTTCCCAAGACCCTAACGGGCCGAATGCCGCAGCTCTACAAATCACAGAACTCAAGGGAGGGTCCAAAAGAAAGTTTCTGTGCAACAGAGGGTATGTTCCACCTCCCCCTGTTTCCCCAAAAGTAAGACCCATTAAACGTATCGGAAGAAACCTGGGGAAGTTTCGGGGGTCGACTCGATCTCAAAGGCCACCGGGTGTCGAAAGCCAAGCTCAACGCCCCCAACAGCCAACAGCTCTCTCACTGCTCAAATCTCTGGACTCAGATTCAGATAAGCCATAGTCAATGTTCATCAGGGCTCCCCCTAGTTCGCCGTTAAACATCACTCCACCAAAAAAACCTCACCTCACATTGGCCAAATCTTGCGATGCTTTCATCACCACCCTGTTCCTTGTGTCACAACTTGCCACGAAACTCCTGTGGGTAAACTTCACTTCAAAGAGCCTCGTGAAGATGGAAGCCTTTTGGTTTCCAGGGCTCTTTCTATCTTTAGGGGACAAGGAGCAACGGGTTGGAATAATGATGGGAGTTCCCTCCGAACTAGCTACCAACCAAGTACTCAACATAGCTCAAGGCCGCAACCTGTAAGATTCACCATGAACCTGAACAGTAGCCTCAATGCTTTCCACTAACGCCAAAGGTGATTCCAGTTACCCCGATAGGCAACCAAGGGCAGCCGTCATGTGAAACTGTGAAACCTAGGCTCTCTTCCCGAGCGGATTGGCCAAACAAAAGTACTAACCAAACTGTTTATTTGCCCACTAAAACTGCCCAAAATGGCCATGGGTCAAAGTCCCGTACCCAGTGAACATCCCAATCCCCACTAAAATAGGTTCTAAAATGGGTGGCGAATTCACCTACCAACCAAAATGGGATCCCATTGGTTTTCACCCAAAACCAAATCCGAAAGTGACGCGACTAGAGTCCGGAACTCTTTCGGAGTGAGTGGTGAAAAGTGGTCTCGGGCCTCTGGGGGCCAGAGCCATAACGCCCGGCTGGTCGGCAGAGGTCCCCATGTTCTGCACCTGACCAGCTCCCGAGTTGCATCGATGCCACTTGTTTCACCTTGGTTCCTGTTGACCCCTCTCCGCAAAACAAAAAAAATGCGTGTGTGTGTGTGTGTGTGGGTTCAATGGAAACCCCTAGATTTCCCAAAAAGTTGAAGTCTAAAGATCCAACCCAATAGCAATGAAGTCGCCTTATCCCTACTTGGTGGTTTGGTTTGGGGGGGGTTCCCTTCCTGACTTGGCTTCCAAGGAAACCAGGGTTCAAACCCCCACACCACTGATCCAAACAGGTGAGTAGTGGGGGGGAAACATGCAAAAAGTGCGCCACTGTCTGTGTGAGTGAGTGGGAACAAACACATCTCCAAGAAGCTGAAGCTTCACGATCCAAATAGAAGCCAAGACTCGGGTCCCGAAGCGAGAAATCTCCCACCTCTCTCCCGATGGGATTGGCCAGTGGGGGGTTCGACAAAATCCCATGGTGAGAAAGTTCTGCAAGAGCTAGCCACTTGCACAGAGGTAAAGGCCACTTGCACAGAGGTAAAGGCCACCGCTTTTGACCCACCAGCCAAACGGAGGGAATGATTGACCTTGGCTCCATCTCCCCTGGATTCCTCAAAGCAACCTGGAGACATCAAGACATGTGCATTACCCGTTCACACTCTTCTATACAAAACACACATCCAATGCGTATTGTCTAGTCCCAACTCCGGGGTACACCACAAATAATATGTACAGACTCTGCGCCATGTTTGTTTTACCCCAAACATATTTGGATCGTCGATGAAGTGCGTGGCGAACATGTGGATCTTGTGCCGCGGGTTCTAAGCCACGTGGCCACGTGTCACAAGCCTCACAAGCCAGGACCATCCGGGCCACCTGGAAACACATGAAACGGGCTCAAAAGCCCGTGATTTTGAAGGAAGCCGATTTTTTCCAACCGCGGGAGGGGCCAAAAAAATCGAATCCCCCCCCCAATCCGAAACCGAATGTGGCGCTGCCCAAAAAACCGAATCCCCCCCCCGCGATCTCAGATGGGGGCTTTGGTGTGCGCTTTCTCAAGCGGCTGTGGGTCAAAAACATGTACCCCAAATGGAAGCCTGGTAAGTGGAAACATGGACCAAAACCATTTTGACCCACCCAAGCGGCGCCTGCATGGGTGTAAAACTCATTGGCATCCTCGCCATGGAGTTCATAGCCGCGTTCCTGGCTCCCGCGTGGAACCGGACGAAAGCGGCACGTGGACGCGGGGACGCGAAAACGCGGCGCGTGTTCTTCGATGCGTGAGTCGAAGCAATTACCTTGCTGGGGGAACGTGGCATTTTTGTTTTTTTGGGGGGGTCAAAAAATAGGGACCTTTGACAGGTGGAAATGAAAGACCCAGCTCGCGCGCAGAGGCTCGCGCCTGTAGGAGGCCGGGTCGTAGCGAACAAACTCCCCGGTTTTGCTGAGGATCGCACCTGGTCCGGGCGATCCCACCGTGGCTGACATGGGAAGCCAACAGCCTGTTGGGTTCCCTTTACAGCTGCCCCCAAACAAGTACCAACTCCAAGACACACCCATCCTTTGCTATTCTTCACCTCATGGGATAGAAAGGCTCACAGCCTTCTGGCCCAAAGGAACCCCAGCGATCTGAATGGTGCTATTGGGTGCCGTTTAGGATCGGGATCCCCAAGTTGGGATCCTTCGGTTTTCCTTTCGATATCCCTTTAGAAAACCACAAGACAGGGGGGGGGTCCGTCAGAAAAAGACACACCCATTCGTGAAAACAACCAATGGGTTACCATCAGGCAAGGCAAAAGGCGACTGGCCCTAAACCTAGCGGGGCTGTCTCGCCAAATTGACACAGCCAAAGGTGACTTAAGAGAGTCGACCTTTGTCAAGCATCAACACGGCCGGCTTTTGTCAACTCATGCGGGTGTGAATTTTAATTGGGGACCAACATTTGGGTGGGGATTTATGTCTGACAACCACCGTTGAAGGGCTCCCTATTTATGCTTGGCAATGCCCCCCCCAAATGGCTCGCTCCAACATCTGTGATGGGCAAACAAGCAGTCCAATGGTGAACCATGTTTCTTTCCTGTCTCCTGACATGTAAGAAACTGATTGAAGAGGGAACCCAAACATCAACAGAAAAATGCAGGTAATGCATGCCTGCAGGCTCCGAGCTTTGGACAACCACTCATGCCTTCTTTGTGGCATCCTTCCTTGGTTAAACAGTGCTATCCTTTGGTAAACAGTGGCTCCTTCCGTACTTTCTTGGTGACCCTGCATTTTTCTTTGTTGACCAGTAGGGCAACAACCAAACTCCTCCCAGAAGTCTCTGGAATTCGCAAGAAGTCAGCCCACATGAACTAAAACGGTCTTCCTGGTGCTCACCTGAATGACTGGGTGTTGATCAATGAGGCGATCGGTGGATTTGTAAGTAGATTGACCAGGCTGTGGCTCCAAAGATGGTACCCAAAATTGCACTTTGGTAAATGGAAACAAGACTAAAACCCGCGCGACCCTGGCCATTGTATTTTGCGCCACGCCCACTGAAGTTCCGGAACTCGGGGAGTGAGTTGGGGTACCCCACCCCCTTGGCTTTCGTGGAGAGGTCGCTTTTGGGGTGTCAAACCTGCTCAAAGTTTTTGACGTGCGTCTTGCAGACTGTCGGGACCATGCCAAGGCTAGCGCACAAGATCGGCCGCCGGCCACCACCACCACCACCACCACCACCCTCCAAAATGAAACGTGTTTTGTTGGTTCGGAACAGATCCGCCGTCAGCCCCGGCCCAACACACAAAATCGCAAAAGCCCGCCTTGGGAGCGGCCGCTGGCAACCCCCTGCACAGAGCGCTGGGTTGTCGGCGCGACGCTGCTCCTGAGACGGCCATCCGGCCGCCGTTTTTTTCTGGGAAACCGTTGCCACCGAGAGGAATTGGTTGGATTGGATTGGATGTGATTGGAGGGCGACCTACAGAGAAGTAAACTTCTCTGCGGTCCGAGCAGTCCCTCCACTGTCGGTGTCGGGTCAACGGCACTGCTCCGCAAACGTCATAGCAGGCCTCACTGCCAGCTTCTGGGTGCCCATGCGGCCGAGTTGCACAATGGCGAGGAAGAACAAAACAAACAACAGAAAAGGGAAAGGAACCCTCAGTCCCGTCCAGCGAGCCCTTTCCCCTCGCACACGCGTTTCAGCAATGACGCCAACGTCGGCGCCGAGGGCGGAGAGGCATCGGCCCCAGTGCCTGCCCCAGTCATACCGATCGCATCCAGACCCGCCGGACTGCAACGACACAAAACGCAAGGTGGACACGCAGTCACCCAGACACGTGCCAGAGAAGCGAGGGAGCTGTTCCATTGTGCCAACTTGGAGGTCCAAGCGGTCCACCTCGCTGGCAGACGCAACGCTCGACGCATTGCTGCCCTCCAGCAAAGCACCTTCCGCGCACAGGTCCGTGAGTCCTGCGGGCAGGATGACGTACGGGGGCAGCCGGATCACACCAGCTACACACGCAAGAAGACGGAAGCCTGCGGAGTCACGCCCACAGGGGCCCGCTGCCGGCTCACGCCAGCAGTAAACACCCAAGAGTGCGATCACACGCACAGCACCGGCCAGCGCGCCGGGGGGGGGGGGCAGTGACAGCCAAAGAGAAAGAAGGGAACTCGGGGTCACACCCGGGCCCACAACCCAGCAAGACACGGCCAAAAGAGGAAGAAAGAGAGGGCAGTCAAACAAGAAAGAGGAAAGAGAGAACGAAGAGAAGGAAAAGGAAAGAGAGGAGCAGCAAAGCAGGCACCAACCCACACACACACACACAGCCAGAAACAAAAACCAAGAGACAAGAGAGGCCACAGCTGAACGCTGAAGGGCGGGAACCCAAAAAAAATGGAGCCGAAACGGCAAAAACCAGCTAGCGGGCACTCCAGAGAGGGGGTGCTCATCGGGTTAGAAAGAACCCTTAGTGCCGCCCCCGGGGTCCGCCCCTCCCCAAGAACGGCCAAGAAAGGAAGAACCTGCAAGGCCGGGGGTTAAATAAAGAACCTGCCGGGCAAGAGAGGAATCGATCTTAAGTTTGAAAAACACCCATACGGCTACGAGTTATTATTGGTGGACGCGGTCAACAATGGTTGATGGAGATATATCCGCCAAAGCGTCCGCAATTGAAACTCCCGCCCCCGAAAACATCACCCCCAATTCACCACTCCGTGCCACTCCGTGGATCTGGAAGCTTGATGCACCCTTCCATGGGACCCATGGGGACAACGGAAATGTGAGCTGCCGAAAAACCTGCCCACGGCGATTGTGACCAACATATGAATTGCAGACAGGGTCCTTGACGGACCCCTCTGTTGGGA